CAAAACATGTTGTGATATATTTTTCAAATAAAATTTGTGGCGATCAAATCGTGAGGTGTAGTTTTTGAAATCAAAATGGTGAATACGATTCATAATGAACTGGATAAGATGAATATTAGTGAAAAATAAATTGATGAGGGTAATTCAATTTCGAACAAATAGTTGAAAAGATTTTTTTTTAAACTATATGAGATGAAAAGCTAAAAGAAACAGATGGCTCAAAAACCAAAGAAGGCTCAGGATGTGGAGTGTACTCCAGATCACTAAGCCTAAGGATTAAGTGGGGAATGGGAAGAAATACCAGCGTGGTCCAAACAGAATTGGCTGGTATCTCAATCGCCACAAAAGAAATAACCAAGAAAAGAATTTCTGGCAAAAACATAACAATCTGCACTGATAGCAGACAAAGCACTATTAGCCTTAAAAAGACAGCGTGTTACTTCAGGGCTAGCACTAATAACATTATCCTGAGGTGGGTTAAAGGGCACGACAGGAGTAAAGGTAATCGCATTGCCGACTCTTTGGCCAAGGAAGCGGCTGGACTAAGAATTTTAGGACCCAGTGGCACCCACGGCCTGATGACTTCGACAATTGCGGAACTAGTCGAATGTTACACCCATGCTTAATCTTTAAAGAGATGGGATGAAATCAAAGGATGTAATCTTGCCAGGATCACCTTGGGCGACCCTGGGAAGCTGGCGCCGAAGAAATATCTGGTGATGACCAGGAAAAATCTACGCCTTACAGTAGGATTTCTGACTGGCCACTGTCAGCTAAGGAAACACCTACATAATATGGGGCTAGTAGACACACCTCTATGCACGATATGTGAACAGGAAGATGAGACTGTCAGGCATGTCCTGTGCTAGTGCCCGGAGTTATCGTCAATAAGAGAGTGTGTGTTCGGCGAGTCTTGGCCTACACCTGCCGATATAAAGGAGATGTCTCCCATCGACCTGTCCACCTTCCTGGAAAGGACAGGATGGACGATGACCTAGGAGGACAACTCCTCGGGAGGATGTACAATGGGTCACATGTGGCCTAAGTGCGTGGGCTTACACTCACCCTCCCTACTCTACAGATACAGAAGCTAAAAGAAAAACCAGGACAACAACGAAAAATGAGGAAATACATTAAGAAGCATTGGTTTTTCTAACTCATGTTATCAACTTAGAAGGGTCTTTTAAACCTCAGCTAGCCTTCACGAGTAGGTTTAGAGGAAACGCGATCTAGCTATTTGAAGTATTTCGTATCAATATATCTAATTTATCAAATACTCATAATCGGTTCCTGATTATTTTGTTCAATTAACACATTCCCCATCAAATTCTGAAATAATCAGAATATTTCTGTTCTCGTTTCACAGCTACTGTGCATACTATAAAAATACTACTAATCACAATATGAAATGTAGATCAAGGTTATATGAATTGTTTCACTACAATGATAATTATGGATTAATTTATTTCTCAACAGATACGGGACAAAAATAAATAGCCTACAAAAATAAATTACGAAATTGAATAGTAAAAACTCGTCTCTACTGATCAAAGGTGATTGTGGAATAATAACACCAAATGTTTTTGGTAGATTGATGAAATATCTTTATCTAGTTCCGCTCAATGCCATTATATTTATTTAGGTCGTTGTTTCAAAAGATTATGTATATTTTTTATCGAGTTCATATGGGTCATATTCATATTGAAAATAATTAATTGCTGGATGTATACTGTAGGGAATTTTATTTCATTTCATATTATCATATCGAGAGTAACTATTAAAACTCGTCAACGGTGTAGCAATTTTTTTCAATGAGATATTTTTTAATTGTCTTTTGAATATGCAGATGTTCATTGAGTCCTCAATAGAAACATCTAGCTTGTTATATAATTTGGGCCTAAGGTATAGGTGACTCTTCTGATAGAGGGAAGTTCGGTGAGGATTCGCTATCAACAACCCCCTAGCTCTACTTGCGTATGGGTGGTCTTGCTGGTTTGCTGGTCTTGCTGGTTTGTAAAATTTTTCTTTATTCTTATAAACGAAGAGACACATCTCGTATATATACAGACCAGCAACTGTGAGTATTTCCAGCTCTTTGAATGAACCTCTACATGAGTGTCGCCATCCCAAACTAGCAATCATTCTGATCGCGCGCTTTTGTAAAATAAATACTCGTTCAGGAGAGGAGCTCATACCCCAATTCAAGATCCCATAGCGCAAGTTACAGCCAACAGTTGCATAATACAGATTTAGGAGAACCTCTCTTCCGCAATGATTCGACATAAATCTCAGTGCATAACAGTTCTTTCGTAGTTTATCACATAGTGAATCTATATGAGGACCCCAATTGAGCTTATGATCTAGAGTTAGCCTTAGCATTTTTCTTTCTGGTTTAGATGTCACCTCTAGTTGGGTATCTTCATATATTTTAAGAGTTTCTGTGGTGTTCTGCAATGAGAATTTGACTAATGCTGTTTTGCTGATATTTAGTACTGAATGATTTTTATCAGCCTATTTCATTATTTTCTCATGAATGGATTCTGTTTTTTGTAAAAGAAAGTTTTTGGCTTTCTACTACTCCATCTTGTTGTTTCTGCAAGTGCTAATGTATTACAATCAGTGACCAGAACATTTGTATCGTATGCATATGCAACTATATGTACCTTTGAAAGAGTACTTAGGTATTGTATCGTCGTTCGCATAAATAAAAAAAAGCAGTAGTCCGAGTATAAACCCCTGTGTAACTCCTTGCTTGCAGGCCAAGGACTGACTGTGAACACCTTGAATTATCACTGTTTGTGACCTGTTCTCTAGATAGGACCTCATCCAATCTTGGGCAACTCCACGAACCCCATAGCGATGCATTTTCTGGATTAGTACATAGTGATCTACACAGTCAAATGCTCTAGGACATGGCTTCCTAAACTATTTGAATATGTAATTCTAGATCGATTTCAGCCACTCGATATTAAGCCAAAGCAATAAGTATTTTGTCAAGTCAATAATTCTTAGCAAATTTCCACGTTGACAAAGTAATGAGTGAAATTGGCCAATATCTAACCACATTCGGAGGGGCAACGTCCCTGAAAATAGAAGAGTTGATGCACAAATTTGGCCCTGAAAAGAGCATTTCCAGATAAGATTAACCAAAATATGTATTTGAAAAAACCCAGTAGACTAGAGCTTCTCGAAATTTATTCTACAAAAACGTGTAGTTGAAGTGAACATGAAATAATAATTTTTACAAATGTGCAAATCCTCACGTGTTAAAAAGAGTGATAAGTGCCAGCGCCTCAGGAGAGGCAACAATTTGTTACATCAACTGTATCTATATCTGTAGAGTAGGGAGGGTGAGTGTAGGCCCACAGCACTTAGACAACATGTGACCCATTGTACATCCTCACGAGAAGTTGTCCTCCTAGGTCATCGTCCATCCTGTCCTTTCCAGGAAGGTGGATATATCTCCTTTATATCGGCAGGTGTAGGCCCAGACTCGCCGAACACACATTCTCTTAGCGACGATAACTCCGGACACTCGCATAAGACATGATTGATAATTTCATCCTTCTATTCACACATCCTGCATAGAGTTGCGTCCACTAGCCCCATAATATGGAGGTTTTTCTTAGTTGACAGTGGCCAGTCAGAAACCGTAGGTTTTTCCCAGTCATCGCCACATATTTCTTCGGCGCACAGCTTTCCAGGGTCGCCCAGGGTGACCCTGGCAAGACTGCATCCTTTCATTCCATTCCATCTCTTTAGGGATTGAGCATGGGTGTGACGTTTGGCTAGTTCCGCAATTGTCGAAGTCATCAGGCCATAGGTGTTACTGGTTCCTAAAATTCTTAGTTCAGCCGCTTTCTTGGCTAAAGAGTCGGTTATGCGATCACTTTTACTCCTGTCGTGCGCTTCAACCCACCTCAGAATAATGTTATTATCTACTGAGGCTTTGGCTAAATGTTGGTGGCACTATAGTACTAGCCCTGAGGTAACAGGTTGTCTGTTCAAGGCTAATATGGCTCTGTTACATCATATAACTATTTCAAAAATTTATTTTGAGTATTGTGACGCCTTAAGATGCTATTCTATAGCGAAACACGTGTCGCGATTTTGTAAACTGTCAAGTGAAAATCTCACGTTGAAATGTTTTTTGAATAGTTAAACAAAAATATGGACATGAATAAACGCCAGCTGAAATGAGCATGAAAAATGAATAAAACAAAAATTGAAGAAATGTTCGGAGAGGCAACGTTTCTACATATAACAAATCGATACATCAATTCGAAAAATATATTTTGACCTTGACAAGAACTTGTTGATACTATATTAACAAAAATGTTTACGAGACTGAGTTGAAATGACTATAAAAAATTGAGAAAACAGAAATTAATAAATGTTATTAAATCTTCGAAATTCACCTACCCGGTGACTGAATGTGAATTTAAGACGAAATATGGATCGAAAACTAAGAAAGTACTTAACAACCTCAAATATATTGAGGAGAAAGTTCAGCACAATTGATTTATCAATCATATATCAATGACAGTTACTTGACAACTTGTTAGAGTGAATACAATGTGTACAAAAAAAGTTTAACAAATTCAAAAAATTTAAAGGATTTATAATCAATTCTTACGTATTCAAAGAAGTAATAAGTGCCATCTGCCTATGTCCACGATATAATTTTTCATATCCAATAATTTTCTTCGGAGGGTCAACTTCCTTAAAAACAAAATTGATATATCAATTTAAAAAATATATTTTGACCTTGACAAGAACTTTTCAATATTTTACATACAGAAATTATTCGTGACTGGGTTGAAATGACCATAGGGAATAAAGAAAACAGAAATTAAGAAATGTAAAGGACTTATAACAAGTCCTCACGTATTCAAAGAAGGAATAAGTGCCACCCGGCTATGTCCACGACATAAAATCTTCATTTTCAATAATTTTCTTGGGAGAGTCAAAGATCTTAAAAAAAAGAAATTGATTCATCAATTTGAAAAATATATTTCTATCTTGACAAGAACTTTTCGATATAATTTATACATGACGAAGTTGAAATAACCATGGAAGAATGAAAAAACAAAAAATTAAATAATGTTCTAGGGTCCTAATTAATCCTCCTGGTTAATAAAAGCTTAGCTTTTGCTTTCGGATCGAGGAACCTTGTCGCGTCCCTCAGTTGCGGTAAATGGACCGTTTCCACTTTGTGTATTTTAGAACTTGGGTTCTAAATCATCCATTAGTCCTTGGACCCCACTGGATGCATATCTGGATAACCTTCATGATTATTGTGTTAGCCAGTTCAAAAATCATTCCTGTGAACATTGAACATTGAAAATATATTTTGACTTTGACAAGAACTTCCAAATATATACATGACCAAAATGAGATAACCATCTATTTTATGTTATTCCGTTAACCAGCTGTCGCACTCCTACGAACGACAACCCTCAGAAGTCGAAACTTGTGCGAGCTATTGATCAACGAAGTCTTACCTTTTAACGTGTGATTCCTAATATTAAAAAATAAAACATAAAACAAAATTGAAAAAATGTACAGGGTTTCTGACTAATCCTAACGTATTCAAAGAAGTGATAAGTGTCATCCGCCTATGTGCACGACATGAAATCTTCATCTTCAATAATTTGCTTTAGGTGGGCAACGTATCCAACAAAAGGGAATCGATACATCAATTGGAAAAATATATTTTGACCTTAAAAAGAACTTATCAATATTATATGTAGAAAAATAAATACGTGACTGAGTTGAAATGACCATAAAAAATGAAGAAAAAAATAGAAAAAATGTAAAGGATTTATAGCGCACCCTCACGTATTCAAAAAAGTAATAAGTGCCACCCACCTATGTCAACGACATAAAATATTCATCTTCAATAAGTAATCCTCTCCGGAGAGGCAGCGGCCCTGAAAAAAGGAAATTGATACATCAATTTGAAAATATATTGTGACCCTGATAAGAAGTTTTTAATATTATGTATATTATGACTAAAATGAAATGACCATAAAAAATGAAGAAAATAAAAACGGAAAAAATGTACAGGATTCTTAGCAAATCCTCACACATTTAAAGAAGCTAAAAGTGCAACCCGCCTATGTCAACGACACAAAATCATCTTCAATAATCTTCCTCGGAGGGGCAACGTCCCGGTGGAGAAAGGTCGTTGAAATGGCATGGCAGTGAAATCAAGGGGTCACTGTACTTGGCACTACAAGAAAGTACATCAATAGCAATCACTTTTCAGAAATGTAAATCTGTGCCGCTGACCTACTTTTCGATCGCATGAATTGGGTTATGCGTTTTTATCATATTAAGAGTAATGGTAGCAAGGTCTCGAGAGTTCAAGGGTGACATTAGACTGCCGATCTCACTGTCCGTTCATCTATTTTAATTGAATGCGTATCTTGATAACTTACGCAAGAATCGTCTTCAGTTAAATGAATTTGTTCTACGATAAACTGATGGGAGGAGTAAATTTGTATACCGAAATGATATGGTATAGTCGAAGTAACTGATATAGTAATTCTTAAAGCTATCGGCGAACTCAAAGGCCAAAAAAAACAATACATAGAAATAATGCCGCTACGAATTAGTCCACGTGGACTGAAGAACTGGCGGTTCGTGTTGGATAATTTTTACTTACCGAGTATTATTATTGGCTGAAGTGTCATAAAATTGAATTTGAAGTCATGTTACGGTGACCAATAGTGCAGAAATTCGATATTGGTGAAGTTATAATTACTTAAAATTTTTGTTATTTGTTTAAAATGTGGCGTCCTTGGACAAATACTAATAGTAATAACGAGTGTGATAACAACGCAGACTGTTTCCTGTGTAGTGATTCCAATAGCGCTGGTGAACAATGCGAAAAAGAGATACCAGTGATTCAAGATTCAGATACATTTGAATATTGAAACACAGAGAGTATGTTTCAATGTATATAAGAATCTACATATCAAGTTTGGTTTCGAGGGAAAAAACTATTACAAGCAACATCAGATTTGACCGAAAATGATGCGGGATTACCAAAACCTTTAGATGTTCATCTAAAAAATCATTAAAAAAAAAACAAATACGGCTGTTACAAAAGCAATGAGATTCCTACAATTGAAATCATAAGGAAGAAATTGAATACTTCCGGCCATAACATGAGCTGCTGTGACAAAACTCTTCAGGATTGGATAAAGAAACTAGTTGATTCTTATATAATCAGAAATGATTATTGAATAACAAAATTAGTTAGCTCCCTAACTATTTTATCAAAGGGGAACTGCTGGAAGGTAGGGTGCACTATATCGTTTACTTGAACTTTACTTTTCATGATGAATCGCTAGCAATTCAAGGAATAATCTTTTCATTCAACAAAATCCACGAAGTCATATTTACAAGTTGTATGATTTTTGGGTATGCGGTAAATTTGGCTCACTAACGGTTTGAGTCCACCTCAAAAAAGGAAGTGGAGTGAAATAAAAATTGAATTTCTTAGACACGTGGCACCTAGTAATATCAAAAATATGATTCTCTTAAGCGAAAGAATTTCTAAGACCATTGAAGAAAGTGAAGTCTTTGAATGTCTTATTCGATTTAATTCTATTTGACCATTGCGAAAACCTCTCAGAAACGCAATAAAGGAAAGAATTGATAAATCAGGAGAATATTATGCTTATGATTGCTGGTTGTATGTAAGTATGAATTTCGTTATTACACCTACTGAAATTTGATACATCAATTTTTATTATATTCGAAACTGTGAGTTTTGCAATTTTCAGTTGAAACCATTTGATAAAGAAAACTAATTATTTCTGTATATTTTCCACAAATAATGAATTGAAATGACTCCATTCGATAATGTTATATCACATTCTATATTTTTCAACTGACTTTTTTTCCAAACAATCAATTGAAAAATGATTTTATAACCAAACGTTTTCTCAGTTATTGGCATTTTCTGACACATTTTTCCAAATGTTACATCTCCACACATATACTTCTACCAAAAAAGCCGCTTTTGATTAAAAAAAAGATTTTCAACACCTGGAAAATGTGAGCTGAATATGAAGTATTTTACCATCAAAATGAAGAGATCTATTGAAAATCTCGATTCAAAAAAATTATATCAAATGTAGAATACAGATAATGTGGAAATAAATGTTTGTAGGAGCATAAATCAAAATTGAAAAACCCGATATTTCAATTTTTTTCCTGAAAGAGAAATGTTTGATAATAAGGTTCAAAATCTTCATTTTTCCTGAAACTTTTTTATTTGATTTTTTTCATTGGTAGTTATTATAAAACAGCATTCTCCAATACTAAAATTCAAATCATTTTATCTCCCCTTCCTTGGATCGACTTCAATTCATCATTCTCGTAATGAGCACACTCTTGTATATCCTTAAAGTCAGGAACACATGTCAACAATACATGTCTGCGGTTTGTATAAATATGTTCGAAGTGCTATGTCCATGAATTTTCCCTGTTTTTGATTCATATCAAATACACTCACTCAACCGTCATTTGTAGCATATAAGTAGGTACTGGACCCGCATGTCACGCAGGCAGATGAAGCTGCCTCTGTGGTGACTAGTGAAACCTCTAACCCGAGGCAATCCGACCGAAACCACAAAGTGCGGCCGGCTTCTGTTGATGACTCCGTTCATGTGTGTTTTTTCTGCAACTAAGTGTATGATGATAATGAGCCAGAGTTTTCCAAATCATCGCTGGTTTTGTTATTCATGGATGGGGTGTTATTTTCACTATCAAACTTTAAACATCAAGTTCAACCAAAGTAGCTGCTTCTGTAGTTTCGGGAATTCAAAAATCTGATGCTATGTCCATGAATTTTCCCTGTTTTTGATTCATATCAAATACACTCACTCAACCGTCATTTGTAGCATATAAGTAGGTACTGGACCCGCATGTTACGCAGGCATCTGAAGCTGCCTCCGTGGTGACTAGTGAAACCTCTAACCCGAGGCAATCCGACCGAAACCACAAAGTGCGGCCGGCTTCTGTTGATGACTCCGTTCATGTGTGTTGTTTCTGCAACTAAGTGTATTGATGACAGCTAATAAGCCAGAGTTTTCCAAATTATCGCTGGTTTTGTTATTCATGGATGGGGTGTTATTTTCACTATCAAACTTTAAACATCAAGTTCAACCAAACTAGCTGCTTCTGTAGTTTCGGTATTTACAAAATCTGAAAGTAATATTTTTAAAAAACATGTGAATGTAGACGCAAACGGATTCTATCTCAGGATATTCAAAATTTTCATGCTGATGATATATATGATAATATTCAGAAAATCGAGAATTCTATTAGGACTCATCATAATTTTCTGTTTATATCATTGAATGTATTTGTGGATTGAATTTGAAGCATTGTTTTGTCACTCATTGTTGATGACTGCATGCTGTTTTTATTATTGAATGGGATCGTACTTTTATTTCGTGATTCATGAACGTAGTTTACTTCATGTTAAAGAAAGGATGGATATCATTCATGAGAAAGATGTTCTCACTTTCCACCTAAAGGGCAACGTGAAAGAATACGAATACTGATCCCATCAATCACAAAACTTTTCCAAACTAAAATATCCACGTACGCTCATGAATTATCGCCAAGATCACTCTATTTGTTTACATTTTTTCAGTCAACGAATGTAGAGCGCTTTTCCGCATTCATTTTTCTGTAAACTACTTACTATTTATAATGAGGTGAAATCTGTGATGCAGTTTATTATTGATTTTTAGAGAGAATGTGTGTTGTGACCTGTTTTCCCACGAGCTGGCGCTTACTACATGCCATTGCACTTTCGCTTCATCAATTCATCATAAAAGAAGTACAGTACCATCACTGTTGATCCATGTTGTACAATTGTACATGTTGCACTATTTAATGAGGTATACAGTTTGCCCTTTTTTTGGAAAAAACCCTAAAGTGTTACAAAATTTCAAATCTGATCAATGACTCGAATAAATCCGTATCTTTCCACTGACTGATTAGTCGTAGTGGCCACGGCCAATAAACGTTGAAATTCCTCGATGAGATGAGTCATTTTATGTTAATAAAGAATGCACATTCCATATATTTCTGTCTTTTAGTAATGATGAGACAAGTAGAAAATAAATAAGTTTTTGATTGGCTTTCAGGTTTTGCCGTGGCCTTCCTTGGTTATAATCTCCAAACGTTACAACTACAACAGTCATCTTCAGATGCGAAGTACTCTCCTTGATGTGTCAGCTGAAAAAGTATCAGTTGAAAAAGTTTCAGTTGACACGTTAAGAAGGCTACTTTCACCACGCCACTGAAGATGACCGCAGTTGCAGTTGAAACGTTTGGAGATTATAACCAAAGGAGACCGCGGCAGAAGCCAATCCAAAACATTGACGCCAGCAGTGAAAGCCTACATTCCTATAATAAAAAATAAATAAGTTTGATCGTCAAAACAGCTACTAATCTGAATTTACTTAAGTTATTAGTTTTGTGAATAGTACTGTTAGTAACTATCTCTGATTTCGTACAATTTTTCCAGAAGTTGTACAATTTTGAGGTTGGTAACAATACTATTTGAAATCCCATTGGGGCAAAACTTTCCCATCTACTGAATTTTTGGAATCTTTCTTGTTTTATCAGCTCATCTCAAATCACATGCAGTGCATCTATGTGTCTTTCACCTACGCAAACCTTCTTTTTCTCAACGACTAAATAATAGAATTTCTCAAATAGGTCGAACTTATATAGGTAGTGTCACAAACTAGTGTTCTCTGAAATTCAAATTTAATGTTTAAGGAAGCATGGTTTACTGCTCCTTGACGTCTCCTGATCTTTTAAAGACACCTGCAATCATTATAATTTGACAAATATCTCGGTTGGCCTGGAAATTTTATGACCTAACAAAGATACGTGACATTTTTTCAGATTTTCTTTATTTTTCAACAGTCTACTTTCAACTCTACATACTTCTTCCAGCGATGCTCCCATATCTGTAACCCGTCCAAATAGTACTCGGCGTCTTTCTCTGAAAAATAATGGTTTGCGGAGGTGGATTGCCTCTTTTGACAAAAATATCTGTCCTCCGAGGATTTATTTTTCTGCAAATGTGGCCGTTTTTCTGCAAGTTCTGCCTTCAGCTTGTTATGTAATGATGCGTAGTATGCTCCTGTAATGGTTTATCATTTCTGAAGATATTCGATTAAAATAACTCCACGACTATCCAATAAAGCAGTCGCCATCACTTTCCCAAACGAATAAACAGTTTCTGCTTTTGTTAGAGCCGCTTTCCCTTTTGCATTCCACTGTCTGGATTAAATGTTTGTTTCGGGCGTATAATGTTGTATCCTACACTGCGTCAACAGAGCGTTGAAAATGTTCATTCAAACACGTTTTTGGTTTAACGTGAGCAAACGCGGCACCCAACGTGCAGGCAGTTTTCTCTTGTTCAAATGTTGATTTGATATATGACGAATACGTTCTTCTGACATGTTGATAACCTCTGATATTTCTCTCACTTTGGTTCGGCAGTCATTTAGCACTATTTGGTGAACTTTGGCAATGTTTTCGTTCATTGTCTCCCAAGCTCTTACGGCTACGTTTGAATTTAGCTGAGTCCCCATACACAAAATTCAACTCATCTTTGATTTGCGTAGGTGTATTGCCTTTCAAAAACGAATATTCAATGGCAGCTCTATACTCGATTTTGTCCAAAAAGACTGAAACTTTGGTGAGTAAGTGTCAACAGATGAACAACGAAATTCACTACCTTTTGTTTACGAGTATTGAGCTGGGAAACTTTTCAGACCACTCTCGTATATCGGTTTATTGCTGTCCAAATCCCACTTTAAGAGCTATCAATTTTTCAACTGAAAGCTTTTTGGGACCACTCTTTGACGAGTGTTATCATATTTAATTGTTATCGATTCATGGATACACATAGACTAACCTGCGAATAGTGAAAACCCAGTAGTGCAAAACCAGTTGGAAATTCTTCTAACTGATTGGTGAGATATCTTCAGAGAATGCCTTATGTGCTAAATATCTATTTGACTCAGCCTCTTATGGATTTACCTCACTTTTTGTCTTATCTTTCTTTCCATCTCTCTGATTTTTTATTTCTTGTCAGCAATACCCTCCCCAACTATAAAACTTTTGGAATTGTCTTCAGCACCTTGAAAATCGTCTTGAAATTCTTCCTCAATCTTCCTGGATTCAAACATGAAATACATACAATTTTCTATGGAAGCTGAACTGACTTTGGCTTATTTGGCTTCATATTGTTTTCGTTTTTGAGATTCATTCACAGACTTACTATGGTGTCCAGCAATATAAATTTTTTTTCAGAACTGATTCATAATGCTATTATTATATAAAAACCTAGTTATCAGAAATAAAAAAAGCATAAAAATCATTTCAAATGCTCCAGCATTAGACTACTGCCAACCGTTGTTCAGTTCAAGGGGAAGTTTGTTGTTAATCCTGGTATAGAATTCTTATTGTACATTTACGATATTGTTAGCCTTTTTCAAAATTGTATGTCTATGTTATATTTATTATTGATTTATATTTTTATACAAACATTATGTAACGTAGTTGAATAAATGAATCTATATATCTATCTACTCAACTACGTTCTTTGAATACTAAGGAATTTTTCAGAGTTATAGGTTCATAAATAACATAAGGTTCAACTATGATTTTGAATAATCTCTTTACCATTCCAAATTTTCAGCAAAGTTTTTCTGCAATTTTGAGTTTAGTCTTGGCCACAAAAAATTCATGACTATTTGAACATTTTTTTTCAACTATGCCTTAACCCGTATTTATTGAATCAGTGTTACATCTTGAGAACAATTTTGAAAATTGCTCTGGATACATACATTTTTCTTACACAAAATGAAAGTAAAATGCAACTTCCAATTGAAACCAGACGAAATTTTCAAACCATGTAGTTATTGAAAAATTACAGATAGAAATACGTCCAAAAAACGTCCAAAAATGAAACCAACATGAAATGAGATGCTTGTGCTTCAAATAACCCCCTTTGATATTGAAATTGTTGATACTTACCTTGCTAATTTTTCTTTGAGACACTTGCTGATTTTCCCGTCTTCGATTTGAAAATATCGAATGAGTTGTTGGAACAGATCTGTAAATAGTGAATGGTTGAATTCCTAATTACTAAAGTTTTGACCCAATTTGCTTTATCAGTTCAGCCCTGAACAAATTTATTTGTACTATCAAGTCATCCTTGACTTTGATCTCTTTACGACTCGTTTGATTAAATTATATTTTTACCAAACACCATAACACTGACGTTATTGACCTATTTACGATTCATTTTGGTCAAGTTTCTTGTTTTATAATTGTATCTTTGATCATATAAGAAATAAAATGGTTACTAGACAATTCTAAAATAAATATCACGTGCAACTCCATGTGCCAACACATGAGGAGAACCACGTGACAATTTGATGATATGAAAGGGAAACATCACTTATATATACAGAGTTACATTTCCATTATTCATGGTGAAATGAATCAAATATGCGATAAAATATGAAAAGAAATTGGAAATTCATTAGATGAGGATTCAATTCAGGAATGAAAGATAAAAGATTTGGATAAATCAACGTTTTGGATTTTCACAAGTTGCTTCAAAATTCTTGAAGGGTTTGTCAGAAATCACTACATTTATAGATTCATCCCGATAAGGTAATGCATGAATTTAATATAATTTTTGTAGTTTACCAGTAACTTTATTGAATAATGTTAGCCATCAGAGAAGACAACGAAGAAATCTATAGGTTTATGTCTAGACTACTTTAGAATCCACAGTCATATATATATCAGCAGTCTGCAGCAAAGTACAGCTGCCCATCTCTTCAAGGTTCAACTACACTTTTTGAGAACTCGTTCTTTTCGAGAAAGGCGTCTTTGTTGAATGAACTTCCAGAGACGGTTTTTCAAAAACTAATGTAATCTATTGCGATTCCAGTATTTGAAAGATTCTCCGCTAGCATTTCCTTTAAAAATAAATCAATTGTATTTAACGATTCTCTTCTCAAAATTTGACTGTATATTCTGGTATAAGGACTTCAAAAAACCATGAATTACTATAAAAGCTGTTAAAAAAAATCAACATACTGAAAGGAAGAACTTTCGACAAATAGACGGATGAAATATTCAATTATTTCATATTTTATTATATTATTTTCGGCTAGCCTTATATTGAAAAGAATAAGATTTAATCCACTTGCAGATAATGATTCCATAGAGAACGTATCTAAATGAATATACCTACTGTAATATTCGTATTAGAACAGTTTTTGAATGTTTCTCAATGAAGAACTCAATGTTTCTTTCAGGATGCCATTTCTTCTTGAACAACACTCTTTGAGTTCGAATAGAAGTCCTCAACCATCCGCAGAGAAATAATTTTGGAAAATATGTTATCAACTTAGATTTTTTTGATAAACAATGTTTTATTCCCAAGAAACCTTTATGGAATGACAAATGGGAATAATATTCGCATATTTGACACATTACAAAGAATAGCAGATATTGTTAAAAATTAATTTATATGTAACTTGATTATTCTGACCTTATGGAACAACAACAATTACCGCATTTTTTACAGACTAAACAGTATATTCAGCCCAATATTTATCTTTCCTTCTTGAGGTTGAAAGTGGGATCAATACCTCTTGGATATAGAGAAAAGTTAATTTAACCTTATAATTCTGGAGAATCAATCAAGTTATTCAATAGTTTGTACATAAACGAATATTTTGAAGTTCTGGAATTATTTTGAAGTTCTGGAATTATCATTTTCTCACAAACTCGAAAAGTCTACCATAAGTCTATCGAATTCAGTTTCAAATTCCTTATCCCGCTGAACCAATGATGGGGAGAAACATTGCATCCGTGATTACTCGGAAGAAAACAGCGGTGACGAACGAACCATCAATACCTACAACAAAATTAGACCAGTGATACATTCTTCAGTTAAAACCCTTGACCCTAATGAGTTGAAAAATATTGGCTACACCAGTTTCATGAATAGTGTAATCCAATGTTTATCAAACACGTGATGAATTCAGGAATATTTAATAAAATGAATAGATGGAGGATACCAATACTACTATTTCTAGTATGGAGCGTGCTTTAACCAAAGCGTTGCAGAAGTTATTAAGGAATTGTGTAAAGAAGATTCATCTGATAAAGCAGTGAACACAGACTCCTTAAAACGTCAGATTCAGAGTTTCCATAGGGCAAGCGTAACAGGATGCCCAGGAAGGTTTACTTGCTGACGTTATAATAATTGATCAGAAACCTAAACCGATCTTAACGGAGATTGACGAAGAATTGAGAGACGGCGATAAAGTTCAAGAGTAATGGCTGAGATATTCGAGTATATATAACTTTAAGATTGTAGATAATTTCGTTGGTCAGACAAAATCTACGATGAAGTGAACACACTGTGAACACTCATCAGTAACCTTCGATTCTTCTTGGGACTTGTCACTCCCTTTACCACAAAAAACTGGCCAATTGAGTTTGATACAATGCTTGGATTCCTTCACAATAGAGGAAATTTTGGAGGGACATGAAAATCCGATGTGTTCGAGTTATGAACAAAAACGGAAATGCACAAAGTCTCTAACAATCTAGAAGTTTCAGTAATTCATGTGACTCCTTATCGTTATAATCTATATGAACTTTCAAATCAGTGGGTCCACTCACACTAGACTTCACACAGCATACTGCAGACATCCCTATACTAGCACGTGGAACGAATACAACGATTCACACGTGTCACCAATTCCACTAAAATCGCCCGTGAGTGGAGATGCATACGTCCTCTTTTATGAAAAGGAGGAAACGAGTTCGCACGTTTGAGACACCTGAGAGAATATTTCTTTTAGCGTTTTGAAATGTTATTTTAGACGTGTTGATTCGAATGTAATGTCAAATTCAATTGTGGAATATGAGCGATATTCAATTCTTCTCGACCTCAAAGTGTCAATATTCAACGTATAGCATGAATCTTGATTGTTTGTTTTTCTTTCAGGATATGAACCATCAGTTCTCAGAATCATAAATTTCAAAAGTGTCTTCTGGACATTCTCACTGGCTATCTGATGAATTCGTAAAAAGGAGACTAGGGGATACTAGTATATTAAACTAACGCTCCGCACTGGTGCAATGCTGATACTGAATATAAATTGAGAAACAGTGGTGACTTCATTTCACGAACGCCCCTCTTTTCCCTGCAGCTGGCGCCCCAGGTGAAACATTTGATATTACTTTCTTATCGCACATCTACAACATAAAATGAACATACATACAAAATTTCAGCCTCCGAAAATAAAGTGGTACGGAAAAACAGTAATGAAAAGGTAACTTTATTTTATGAACACTCCTTTTCTTCCGCGGGTGGCGCCCCAGGTGGTATATTTAAAAATATTTTCTCATTGCACATCTACAGTCATAGAGCGATACAGTGGAGAAAAGGTAATTTTCATATGGAAACGCCCCCCTTCTATACTCAGGAGGGTCGCCCCAGTTGGAATATTTGCAAATTATCTTTTATTGCACATCTACAACATAAAACGAAAATACATAAACAATTTCAGTCTCCGAAAATATAGGTGTTCGGAGGAACAGTGATGAAGAGGTAATATTTATATATAAACGCGCTTCTTTTACCCCCACAGGGGGAGTCAGTTAGGATATTTGAAAATTATTTCCCATTCAATAACTAAAAAGCAACTTCATACCAAATTTTAGCTTTCTAGTACTCACCAGTACGGAAAAGCAGAGATGAATGAGAGAATGAGTTTTATTTAGTGACTTTGGCATTTATAAGTATAGATTTCAAATCTAAAGTAAGCGTAATGAACTATCTTCATAGTTTTCACATTGATAATGTTCCTACATTTTCTTATAATAAATCCTTATAATTTCAAGGCTTACACTATTTTCGGTTCTGAATGTTTATTGAAACTCATTTGATCTTTATCAATTTTTACTATCGTCAATTTCATAAGAATATGACAGTGTTGAATGTTTCTCTTCTGGTATAAAATGATTCCACTTCAGCCATTAAGATACAAATTGGTCTGATTACACATATTTTGAGTGATATACAACTTTTTCTGTATATACTCACAACCATGAATATTTACAACTGACGAGAACATTGAACATCAATAAAGCATTCGCAAATACTAGAAAGAAAAGTGGATCCAAGTTAGATCCCTGAGGAACTTCCGAAAAAAATTTATATATTCGTAGATTGAAAGAACAAAGTGATTTCGCATCTATTCGTAGTCGAAAAATAATTCACATCTACCAGAATATTACCACACAGAGTCCGATTTATATGGCTTCACCGTTGAAATTATAAGAAGTGAGTTGGTACCAAAATTATTCTGAATGAATTTAGAAAGTAGTTCATTCACAGTTCAATGAACATACGCACTTTGAGTATAACTGAAACTTTACCAGACAAGTTTTACAGTTTCTTCACATAGATTTCAGCCAATATATTAGTTACTTTATTACCGATCTCTCTGAATCGGATGTTTCATTATTTGCCAATTTGCTATCTATGCAATGGAATCAAAGCGGGCCTCAAGCATTTACTAATTCGTTTTAATCATAGGGTTAACGATCAGAGGCACTTAAATAACTGAATTTTTGTTCTTATATTCCAGATGAAACATGGTGATATTATGATATAAATAATTGTGTACCTACTGCTAGTTTTTATCAAGTTGGATGTAAGTATCGAATTAAACAATTCTAGTTACAACTTTCTGGTCTCATGAGTTTTTGTTGTATCGTTTGGTGCTGGTTAGGTGATGTTTTAATGATGGTGTCGCACAATTTGATGAACTCAAAGGCAGACTGATAAAGGCACGTACTGAAGTACTTAATATCAGGGCCGGACTCCTTATTAAGGAATTGTGTAAAGAAGATTCTTCTGATAAAGCAGTGAACACAGACTCTTTCAAACGTCAGATTCAGAGTTTCCATAGGGCATGCGTAACAGGATGCCCAGGAAGGTGTACATGCTGACGTTATAATAATTGATCAGAAACCTAAACCGATCTTAACGGAGATTGACGAGGAATTGAGAGACGGCTAAAAAGTTCAAGAGTAATGGCTGATATATTCGAGTATATATAACTTTAGGATTGTAGATAATTTCGTTCATCAGACAAAATCTACGATGAAGTGCACAAACTGTGGACAGTAACCTTCGATTCTTCTTGGGACTTGTCACTCCCTTTACCACAAAAAACTGGCTAATTGAGTTTGTCACAATGCTTGGATTCCTTCACAATAGAGG